GGAGGGGGCGGGAGGGAGGGAGGGAGGGAGAGAGGAAGGGAGGGAAGGAGGAGGAGGGAGGGAAGGAGGAGGAGGGAGGGAGGAAGGGAGGGAGGGAGGGGGGAAGGAAGGGAGGGAGGAAGGACTAATGAACAAAAGGGGATTTTTTTTTTTAAAACATTGTACAGTTCAAACTTAAACTAGAAAATCATTTTGGATTATATCCAAGTTCATTTAATGTTCTTTACCCAAAAAAAAAAAAAAAAAAAAAATTAAAATCACTTTTTTTTCTTCCTTAAAATAAGTTTTATAGACTTTGGAAGGTATTGGAAATTCACAACTTTGGAGCTGTTAGGTCGAAAGCATTACTTGTTCCCACTCATCACACACACATGCAAACACACACACACAGAGCATGAGCAAAACCTGTACCCAGAAAAGTTTCCCAGGCCTATCAGTGGGGCAGATGAATTTTTGATTAATGCTGCCCTAAAGCTCCATGACATTCAAGCTGCATTCAACTACATGATATTATAAAAGTGTCACCTCATAAAACTGAAAACGAGGGTTTAAATCATTGCTCAAGTGAAAAAGTAATTTCAGACAAAAATATCTATCACATATAAAATATTTATTGAGTGGCATCTACTGTTATACATAATTTATGAAACACCTCTTGGATAAGACAGAATGCTTAACATAGCAGGGCTGGCTTTCTTTCCATAACTCCTGGCACAATGAGCCTCAAAGAAAGAAGTAAAATATGTAGAGTTGCAGATAGCTCACAGAGAAGCAAGGCTTTCAGCCCCGCAAGTGTATTTGCATGAAAAGGGAACTGCAGTGCGATTAGATGTGCCAAAACAGCACCAAGTCATTTTAAACAATGTGTTTCTTACATCTGCAAAAAGGTAAGCGTAATGTGTTGCCTCAAGTTCCAGACACTTATCCAGGTAAAACATTTCTGAATGTAAAACACATGTTCAGCATTGAACATGAGACAGACACACCTCAGCCACATTCTGGGGATGTAGAGGGTCAGGCAAAAGTTTACAAGCAGGGTTTCCTAAGCTCAGAGAAGAACCCAAGAGGAAACTATTTGTTTTGGAGGAGGGGCTTGTGGCCACCACACACAGCATTACAGTGAAGAGGTTTAGATTTTTTTAATTTATACATGGTATTTTTATTAGTAAAGTCTGCCATGGGTTTTGATCTGAGATGACCTCTTGAACATTTTTTTTTCAGTTTCAAGTTAACTGATCACTGCACAAGGCAAGTGAATACATTTTGATGGTCTGTGTCAGGCACAATGATAAACTAACAGTAAATCAGGACTGAAGTGTATTGTATGATGTACAATTTTTCTGGTTTATTGATTTTTTTCTCTCTTATTTTATTTTATTTATTTATTATAATTTTTATTTTTTTAATAATTGCACTTTATTCACTTTGTAACCCCCCCCATAAGCCCTTCCCTCCTCCCC